TGTGTGTGTGTGTGTGTGTGTGTGTGTGTGTGTGTGTGTGTGTGTGAAGAGACAGGAGAAAGAGAGTTTAACTCAAAGTCAGAGACAGACTCTGTGCTTATGAGGCAAACTCAAATTGTGTGTTTGGGTGTGTGTGCACGTGTGTGTATGTATTTGTGTCTGAGCTCAGTGATAATGTCAGTGGTGTCAGCAACTGTGGACCAACAACACACAAAGGAACAGTAAGCCCTGTCAGTGTCGGTAGTGATCTTACAGTCCAATTCAGCAGCCTCTTATGTAACTCCAGAAGGGATTAACAGTGATTTTGCCCGTTTTAGCTGTTGTTCCATATACTCCATGAACAAGAATACACAATGTAGTTCATATTGCTCATAGCAACTTAAAAGATTTATTGCATTCTTAAAGGTTCTTCCCATACCTGTGCATGAACTTCAAACTGACAACACACATGCATGTACATGATCTACTTTCCCTCACTCATGCATGCCCACCTCAACCCAAACATGTCTTCCTGACCCTAGGGGGCACTCTCTCCCGCCAAGCCTCAATGCCTTGCCCACGACCGCACTTTGCATCCAGAGCTCCTCCCTCAAGCCATGGCCCCGCCCCTCAGACTGACGATTCATACATCCTTGGCTATGATCCTGCAGGTACACACACACAGACACACTCACCATCCTTTTCCCTCTGTTTCACCACCTTTGATACATTTATGTCCTCCAAGGCAGGGCAAGGAAGAATTGCTGAACAGGCCAACTGGGTGCACCAGCAGGGGCTTAAGGGTTCAAAGCAAAATGACTACAAAGGCATGCAAAACATCTACAAAAACATGCAATAGCTACTAGAAGTTCTACAAAGAGACTTGGTGTAACTACAGTGAGAAAACAGTTCAAACTGAGAAAACAATTATTAAAACAAACATCCATTCATTATCTATACACTGCTTAATCATTAGGGTCGTGGCTCCATTTACGATCATGATCAATGACTCTCCCATGTTAAAGTGAAAACAGATTTCTACAAAGTTATGTTATTTAATTAAAAATGGAAAATAGAAAATAACTGATTGCCGAAGGAATCTTAGTTGTTTTGGTGGCCTCCCTCATTCGTCTCTTTCTTACACCGTCACACAGTTTTTGAGGATGACCTGCTCTAGGCACATTTCATTATGTACCTTATTACTGAAATTTCTTAATAATGGATTTTACTCTACTCCAAGGAATATTCATTGACTTTTAAATGTTCTTGTATCCATCCTCTGCCTTGTGCTTTCCAATAACCTTTTACCAGAGTTGCTTCAACTGTATTTTTGTCCTTATATTGTACTTAAAACCAGGAGTACTGCTTCACCAGCGACTGGACCTTCCAGATACAGGCATCTTTATTTTACACTCACTCATGACCCATTCACTGCACTCAGGTGAACTCCATTTCAGAAACTGTGCGACTTCTAGAAGTAATTGGCTGCACCATTGTTAAATAAGTTGACTGACTTTATATGGGGGGGATTACTTGTGCTATATTTATTTAAATTTTTAAAAAAAATTTTTTTGCTTGTTCTTTTTAATTGGCATTAATTGTGAATCTGTTTTCACTTTGAAATGAGTCTTTTTTTAAAAAATAAAATCTGGTCCAAAAATATTAATGAAATTGACCATGACTCAGTGTTAAGAAGGTATGAAAGAGGAAAACTTCCAAGGGGGGTGAATACTCTTCATTGGCACTTTAAAAATACATTATGGAAACGCATCTAATGATGTAAAAAACAACTACAGAGACGCAAATTAGCCATAAAGACACAATAGGACTATTAAAAAGACCTAAAAATAACATAAAACGACACAAAACAACCACAAGAAGGCAAATAACAACAACAACAAAGCGGCCACAAAGAGATTCAAAATGACTACAAAGAGGTGCAATATAGATGGAAGCAAACTGAATGTGTCCACAAATAGACGCAATATACATGAAGAAACAACCACAGAGACACAATGTACCTGACAAGGAAATGCAAAACGCCCACAAAGAAAGACAAAATGGGCAAAAAAAACTCTACTCAACCACCAAGAAATGCTTAATGAATTAAGAAATAAAAATAATAATCACAAAATGACCACATAACAGCCAATAGCCACAAAACAAATATGACTATAAAGGAAACCAAACAACCCCAACATTGGTGGTTGTTTTGAATCTCTTTCACTCTGTGTGTCTTGCTTTTAATGGGTTGAGGGTCTTCTACATGTCTCTGTCCAGGAGCTCATTGTCTCTCTTCCCTTCCAAACAGCACCTGATCCCAGTCTCTCCTCCATCAGTCCTGTGGTGCTCAGTGTCATCCTATTAGGTCCAGTCCCAGCCCTGCAGTATGCAGGGTGCACAGTGAGCCTGTGTCTAAAGTGTGTGTGTTTGTTAGGTGCTCCAGCAGGCAGTCAGCTCTCAGCCCCAGCTAGTCCTGCTAGCCCCACTCAGGACATTTGGGTCCTCAGGAGCTCTCCCACTGGTAAGAGTGTGTGACCCCAAACACCTGTCACCCCCTCAAATCCCAACCCTGTGTGAGCCTGTAGACCAGCTCCAGTCCCTGCCATTCTGACAAACCGAGCCTCTTTAAGGAAGCTTATTCCCGTCCTTATCCCTTTATATCCCAAAGCCTTGACCTTACCATGCCAGCCTGCAAATCCCATGCCCCTCTGCTACCCATAAACCGAATAATCCAGTAACCATAACCATAGTTGTCTTTCAGGTGGACATAATGGTAAGTTAGCATGTGTTTACTGCATTTTTTCTCTTCTATAACTGCTGGTGTCTTGGGTTTTCTGCAGCTTGCTGGTGACCCTGCCTCGTTTCTAAAAGCCTGCATAGCAAGACTATAAAAACCAATGAGTTATTTCATCTACTGTTGAGTTGTCCATCCATCCATCCATCCATTATCTATACACCGCTTTATCCTCACGAGGGTCGCGGGGGGGCTGGAGTCTATCCCAACTGACTTAGGGTGAAGGCAGGGCTACACTTAGAGACAGACAACCAAGCACACTCACATTCACATCTACGGACAATTTAGAATCACCAATTAACCTCAACATGTTTTTGGACCTTGTGGGAGGAAGCCAGAGAACCCGGAGAGAACCCACGCTACACTGGGAAAACATGCAAACTCCACGCAGAAAGATCCCAATGCGAACCGGCGACCTTCTTGCTGCGTGGTAACGGTGCTAACCACCGAGCCACCCTGCAGCCCTACTGTTGAGCTGTGATATTTATATTTTAGTTTCTTTCCGTTCCATAAAGGAGAAATTACCTACTTATTAAATTTCTTAGTTTTAAAGCCAATTCATGCTTTCCAGATTGGTGTGTCTGCAAGGGTACACGTGATATAAATTTTGACATCTATCCCAGTTTGCAAGGGTTTGTGCAAACCCCTCGCCCCAAAATTGTTGAAGACGTAGACAGACTCCAAGTGCATCAACAGCGCATGTGCCAGGAAAACAGATGATGCTTAAAACAAATGCTTGTTTTGAGGAGACTGTACGAGGAAATTGTCCGTCATGCACACCTTTAAAATTGATCACTAAAGGAGTTTTAATTCATGTAGTTGCTGTTGGACTTTGGAGCAGCTTTGATTTTTGCAGGCTTTTCATCGCTGGTGCCATCACATAGTAGGAGGTTCTAGACTCTCCAGAAATCCTGTGCTGTGTCTATCTACTGTGCTTGGCACACCTTAGAAATAATGGCACTGGCAGGCTTCTACAGCCCAATCTGTAAAAAGCTCTCAAATCCTGTAAAAAGTGAAAAGTCACAGCCCTCCAGAAACATCCATGGGAGCTCCGTGTGTTTTTCTGTGTTCTATGTGAGGGGCAAAAGAGGCATACATACTGAAGTATGCATAGAGCCACATGCACGTCCCTGTTCCCCCTTTAAAGTCCACATTGGAAACCATGAATTGGATTTATAAATGGCAAGCTTGATGTCAGTCTCATGTCTTTATAATAAATATGGAGCCAGCGTCAGGAGGTGATTAACGTACCTAAGCAAAAAAAAAAAAAAAAACTCACTAATTAACACAAACAATGTGGAAAAAAATGCCAAATAATTAATTGTTACAACCTTTGACTCCTCTAAAAAATCATATAATGTTCGTAACACTTTGTAAATATGTAGGGTTAAACACAAATGGTGTAAAATGACAGAAGTGGGAAATGGTGCTTTGGGCACCCCCAGCGCCACAAATGAATCCCCTGTGATATTGACCATCAACATTGTCACATGACTCACAGCTGTAGCACATTTACAGCTTATATCAGCACAAACCTTTTTTTGTTAAATCATCAGCGTAAAAGATGAATAGTTGGGTCAGAAAATATCAGGTTCTGGTTGATAAAAAGTCCACAGCACAAGCCTGTGTTACTGGAGAGGCAGCTGAATGACGAGGAGCACCACAACATCGACCCACCGCAGGTCAGGAAGCATGTGCTAGTTGGGAGCGACTAAACAGCACCTTTAAAAATGTCACCACTGAATGATAGTTTTTGACCTTTTATTGTCAGCTCAGCTAATTATGAGATTGGTATTGTTGTTGTTGCATAGCTGCAAAGAAAGCAAATAAAAATCTATTCAAAAATGTCCAACTAACCTTTTAAAAATAAAAAGGACCTGCTAATGACATACTTTTTTTTTAGAGAACTCAGACCACAGACTTCAATCTACAGATGACAACCGACAGTGTTCCCTCCTCTCTCGTAATTTCCCAGCACTAAACTTCTTTGAAAGTTTAATTTTACACAGTGGTCTCCCTCTGTCTTGTTCCTGTTTCGCTCTTCTCAGGTGACAGAAACAGTGTCGGCAGTGCTGGCAGTGTGGGCAGCAGTCGCAGCGCTGGTAGCGGCCAGAGCTCAGAGAGTGGCCACAAACAGAATGGGACTCAGAATCGCCACAACACTGACACTGGCAAGGTAAATCACAAGGATAACTTAAAACGAATAAAAGAAAAAGAGAAAATTGGATATTCCTCAGTGGAAAATCTTAATACATCACTCTTGTGTTTCTATCATCGATCCACTATCTGACCGACTGTCAGAATACAGCAGAGTTCTCCACTTGAATAGAGCACTGACAACAATTAAGATTTTAATAGTAGGTTAGCTGGTCTGATGAGGTGTGAATATTGTGAATACAGTCAACTCTAGTGGTTACACAGATTCTGAGGTGTTGCTTATTGCTCCATCTTTAATGTTTTCTGTTTGCAGCTGGCTCCCTCTGCTGGTGAATCAGGAGACCACCCTCATGTTACAGGAGCAGACCACAGCAAACAGGTTGATGGGTCCACAGGTGAGTCTGATGATGAAAAGTCTGCTGTCTCCTTACTCTGTTTCATAGCACTCATTCTGATATTAGATTAGAATAAAACTATAGTATGACTATAAAAGGTTGTGTAGGAGAACAAAATAAGTTGTTATGTATGCATGTTGCCAATAAGCTTAGGGAAGAGGCTGTGTGTTGCACTCAGCTCCCCCACCTCCTCAGAAACAGTCTCCCCTTACATTTTGACAGCCTTTCATATAATTTCCCGTGAGTCATAAAGCCTGAGCTTTAATCTTTAAATCTTTGCTAAATAACAAAAAACATGTTTTTCTGTGCTTGTCATCGTTATTACTCCACTCTGTAAAAGTTACAGGCAATATCATTTTACTATCATTTTTACAGTGTTTGGTAAAAGGTTCATGCACAAATATGAGAGAACCATTGAAGGACCTTAAACTAAAAATATATTCTTTTATATCATGTTTTTATAAATCATATCATCCTTTCCACAGAGTCTTAAAGCCAAAGCTGTAATCCTTTTCTGATGTCATGAATTTGTGTTTTGTGCTCTTTGATTCAGCTGTCTGAATAAAAGTCCTCGCTTAATCCACTGCTTCAAAACACATCCAGTTACAGACTGATACTGCATATTATGTAACTGTTTTTTTCTTTTCAATAGTCTAAATCTCTGATAATTTAATAACTTTTACCTCACATCAGTCATTTGGAACATAAAGGTCTGATGTGTGCACACCAGTTGACAAAGTTTTGAATATTCTTAGAGTATTGTGTCTTCTTCTCATTAATATTTAACTTAAACAACTTAAAGTTTCACATAGTTTATTTCACAATGTGTCTTTTTCTAAGTACTGCATTTATTCTCAAAGCATTGCCGATTACTTTCTTGTAATGGGACTTCTTTCTTTTATTTTTGAATGAGCTGTAATTCTTTATTAATATCATACCTTTAAGCAATTGTTGCAGACTTTTTCTTGTAAATATTTTATTTTTCTGTTGCTATTATTATTACACATTTTTGTACTAACATCATGACTTTATCTTCTGAGAATTTGAGTTTACTCTTAAACTGCAACAGATTTTTTGTGAATTCCTAATGAGATTTTTTCAGATGTTTGATTTAACCCTCAAAGTATTGCATATCTTTTCTTTTCTCCTTTGTTCTCTTTATCATGCCTATCACCTGTGGAAAATACTTAAATTACATATTACAGATTTCTTGTACATGCCTTACATATTATTTTCTTGGAAGTATCTGACTTTCTTTTTTTTTTTTTTTTTTTAGTTTTACAGAATATTTCTTGCAAATATATTATGATCTGATAATGTTTGATATGATCAAATATTTGACTTTATTTTTTTTTTTAGCTACAAATGACTTTTTACCATAATAGTGATAAATATTTAACTTTATTTAAGTATAGCAGAATGTTCATTTTGTTTTATATATTTTTTAAATGTCTTTGACTGTCCTTGATCTATTACAGATTTTTTTTCTAATACTATTATGACTGTTTTCTTAGACATGTATTCCTGTGAATATGTGGCTTTTGTGTCAGAGTCCTGCAGATTTCCTTTAGTAATGTGACCTTTCCTCATACTTATTTTTTTCTAACACTGTCAAGACTTTTTCTCAAAATACCAACTTTTTTTTGTATAAGACTTCACAATATTTGATTTTATTCTCTGATAAATCTCTGATTTATACTTTTTAAGTGACTCTAATACTCTTAAAATACTAACTTTATCTATATCACTGCAAGAAACTAAGTTACTTTGGTGGTAACATCCCTACCATCATCTTCTATTACCTGAAGAATGCGACCAAAAATAAACAGAGCAGTAGCCTTTGTTCTGCAGAGTGAGCTGTTATTGCCGTCAGTCCAAAAGGAAATGAAATGTAGGGAGAGAACAAAAGCTTACCTCACTTCACCACCGAAACCAATAAAACCACCACCTCCTCTCAACTACACAACCCATAAAAGCCCCCGATCACTCGATCACAGGAAACTCTAAAGTAACACTAAAGGCCAGGAGAATTTGTTTTGCTGTCTGATGTACCTGGCAGGTGCAAAAAAAATCACAGAGGATTGCACATGTCCAAGGTATCCTCAGAACTCAAGCTTCATCTGCTGACACAAGGCTTTGCAGATGTTACGGAGTGTCAGATGTGATGGAACAGAGGACCTCTGTTGACCTCAGGGTGAACAGGAAGGTGGGCTAAAGTTAAGGAGAAATGAGGAGCAGGAGGGAGGGATCAGAGGGAGGAGACAGAAACAGAAGCAGAATGGGCAAAACATATCTGTGAAATGAGGGAGAAGAACAGAGCATTTGTCTAAACATGACGAAATGTCTGCACGACGTGAAAGATAAGGAAAAGGAAAGATGAAGTGCCAGACATCAAGAGATCTGCTGCTCTCACTGCTTCTGAAGGGTAAGGAGTTCTGTTCAGATTTCTGAAAGGGATGTTTGATCGTTTTGTCAACTCAATCATTTGAACAAAGGATTTGTTTATGTTTTACATTATTTCTGTTAGCAGGGGGTGTGTGTGGATGGCGACAGTTGTCTGAAGTAGCTGAGGACTGATGTGTTTGTTGAGAATTTAAGAGTAGAGGAGACAGTGTTGGTAAAACCAGAGAAAAGGCTCCTGATGTACTGTTATGAGCTTGAACAGTATTATCTCAGAACAAGACAAATATTCAATATCAGTGTTGTTTCATGCTTTTCTTATCTTCTAATATTTAGTGGCAAAGAAAGTGTCTACACACACACACACACACACACACACGTTATTTTCTCTTTGTGTTAGACTTAGTGACTTAGTAAAAAGCAGAGAGTTTCTCGACCGATCGATCAAAGTTAAAGTTGACAAAGTTTTGTCTCTAGCCCTGAGGCCAAATACCTTCTCTAGGTGCTGTTTTACTCCCTTGGGAGAACAGGGCCCCTGACCTCAGCAGGAAAGTAGAAAAATAGAACCCCAAGAAGAGATTAAAAGTATGGAAAGAGAAGCAACAAAGAACACGTTAATATGCCAGGTCTAAAATTATCAAGGGTTTAGAGGTAATGGTAGATGTGTTTTCCAACTTAAGACAGGTCCCAGCTAACTGTTTACCTCTGTTCCAGGATTTATGGATTTCAGGTTGTTAGTGACACAGGACAATATTAAACCCCATGTAATGTATATGTAGTTGTGGACAAAAGCTTACATACACTGAAAAAGACCATGTATATGATGGCAGTCTTCAGTTTTCAGTAACTCTTAATTTTCTAAGATAATTACTGAAACACGTGCATCTTTGTCACTAGAGACAATCATGCATTTTAGTTCTTTATCGACTTCTGGAAATATGACAAAATTTGCAGGGGTCAAAAATATATACACTCACCAGCCACTTTATTAGGAACACCTTACTAGTACCGAGTTGGACCCCCTTTTGCCCTCAGAACTGCCTTTATCCTTCGTGGCATAGATTCAACAAGGTACTGGAAACATTCCTCAGAGGTTTTGCTCCATATTGACATGATAGCAGCATGCAGTTGCTGCAGATTTGTCGGCTGCACATCCATGATGCGAATCTCCTGTTCAACCACATCCCAAAGGTGCTCTATTGGATTGAGATCTGGTGATTGTGGAGGCCATTGGAGAACAGTGAACTCATTGTCATGTTCAAGAAACCAGTCTGAGATGATTCGCACTTTATGATATGGCGCGTTATCCTGCTGGAAGTAGTACACTATAGCCCCTATCTGAACACCTAACTGCATCCAAGACCCAACCTTCTGACTGATGATTTTAGGTTTTCCTGAAGAATGCAGAGGTAATCCTCCTTCTTCATTATTCCATTTACTTTGCATTAAGCGCCAGTTTCGCTGGCACCAAAACAGCCCCAGAGTATAATACTACCACCACCATGCTTGATGGTATGTTTGGTGATCTTGGTATTAAGGGCCTCACTGTTTCTCTTCCAAACATCTCTCTGGTCATTGTGGCCAAATAGCTACATTTTTGTGGTCACCTGACCACTGAACTGTTCTCGAAAAGGTCTGTTCTGTGTCCATGTGATCAGCAGCAAACTTAAGTTGAGTCTTAAGGTTCCACTTGTAGAGGAAGAGCTTCCCTCTTGCATGGCAGCCTCTCAGCCCACTGACACATGTGTTGCAGCAGCTTCTAATTCATTGCAGACCTGCTTTTTGGTGATTCTTTGTTGACTTTTGCTCGTCCTGACCAACTGTCTCTCAGCAGCAGGCGATAGTTTGTTTCTTCTTCCTGATCGTGGCAGTGGCACAACTGTGTTGCGAGAGGTTTTGTGTTAAACAGCACTTTCTTTACATTTTTAGAGGTTTTGATGACAACAGGTCTATAAATGGAGAACCTCGGGTTGTTAAGGATGAAGAACTAGTTTTTGTATCATTTAGAAATCGGACAATTTGAGAGCTGAACCTTCAATTGCTTTGAAGTGGTACCATGACTTTGAAAAGCCTATGAATGCCTGAAAAGACTGTAGGTTGTCCAGAATTAGAACTGCATCAGCTGAAAAATTCCCTACACAAAAATGCTGGAAATGTCTCACCTGTCTGTCAACACTCAGTGCAATAGCAATGACTAAGTAACCACAAAGATATCAGTGGGTTGACAAATTTGGAATTGGTGAAGGTCACTCTTAGAAGTTACAGAGGCCTGTGTGTAAGTTAAGACTGGAAGCATTATTATGTAATACTGTCTATAATACTATAGAGCGTTTGACCCTTGTATTTTAGGGTTAACCCACAGATACAGTATAGAGGTGTTACAGGACCTGAGGCAAAAACTGTTTGTGGTCTTTTATATCACTTCCTTAAGGATCCATTTGCCCTAACTACAGGGATCATATACAGTTGTGACTCAATAATTCAACACTAAATGTAAAACCTTCTTTTACGCTGGATAGCAAGGCTGTCAGATTGTCAAGACGGAGGTCGAGATACATGGAGGACTTGATGCTTGAAGGGTAATTTCTTAATATTTATTGTTATTAGTTGTTATAATAACTAGTGTATTGTTGGAACACTACGCATCGCTGGATTTCACGCCTTTGACCCGTGCACAGGCCATCGGTTGACATCAAAGGTAAATACGTTCAGACAGCAGGCTGAAGTGACCCAAATCCGATTTTTTTTTTCTTTCTCCTATGCGACCTGTATCTGATCTTTTCAGGACAGTTTGAACAACACAGATCCAATTAATGATGAATATCTGAATATTCGGAACGGTCAGGGAGTCCACTTCCATCCCAGTGGTGCACTCCAACGGGGTGGAAGTGGCCGGAACACACAGGCAGTACTTGGCTGCTGATGCTAGTTTAGTTAGCGGTCACAGTTTTGTTTCCACCATCGGTGGCGGCGGGGGAGTGGCAGATACGCTCCACTGTTACCATCCATGTTTATTTCTGCAAACACTGAACACGCTCGCTGCATGTGACGTTGTTGTGTCCTCTTCTGTGCATGCGGGACACTTTTGGGTCGTATGTAGTTCACACAGATCACGTACAAGTCGCATTTAATTAGAAATGTGAACGAACACACACAAAAATCAGATTTCACAAAAAATCTGAGTTGAGCATTTAGCCCTGCAGTCTGAATGTAGCCAATCTGTTGGATTGTTTAATCAGATAATACGGCATTATCCTTATCTGTGACATAAAATGTCATGTTGGAGTCGCAATCCAATGCCGTCAGTATGTTAAAGCTGTTTTCTATGGGTTCCGTTCGTTTTTCCTAAAAACTTGTCATATAGCAAGGTTTTCGGATTGTTAAGGGTCGGATTATCAAGTCACGACTGTATTCTCTAACTTACCTCTAAGTGATATCAATGTACTGTAGATTTCTGCCTTCAATCCAATGCAAAGTAGATGACTGGAGTTTTATTTGCTCCAACCACTGACAATGGTATTTTGAAAATTTAGTAGCAGCATTTCTTTTCAGAAACAATAACTGGATAATCCAAAGTGTCTTCCATCATTTTCTTTTATTGCAAAGTTTATCTTCATGTTTGGGAAAGTGCTTTAGAAAAACAGATTATTGTCAAGTGCGATGATTAAAAGGTTGGAGGATCCTGTCAGGAGAGATGACTATAGGAGCAGAAAGAAAACTGGGGGGCAATTAAATTGTTGGCCTCTGGGCAAAAGAGAGGCAAAGATTGGGAAAGTGGGAGGAAAGGTGCATTCCTCAGAGATTTGTGGTAATGTGTTGTGACTGTAAAAGAGATGAGTTAGGAGTGTGCTGAGATCAGGTAGATAGCACACCTACAGTCACCCCAAGAGGCCTAGCAGCTGAACTTACCCCGATAGTCGCTTGTTTTTTTAATTATTTTTGCTATTATCACATGTACCACATACCTGAAACTGGTTATTGTTAAGTCTTTGTTTTGTCTGGGTGGGTCATGTTTTTCTTCCAAACAGTGTCATCTTGTTTCCTCCAGTCGCTCACAATAAAAAATAGCAGGGATTGATTAATTGTTTTGCTTTTTTAGGTGGTTCCCGTCGCCAGATCAATGGCACTCCTCAGAAAGGTTTTGTGAGACCAGAACAACTTCTAGAGGGCAAGGTGAGTTGAATCACACGAGAAGTTGCGCAACTGTGTGTGCATGTTTAACAAAGCAGTTTCACAAATCTTGCCCCTCTGTAATTAGGACTCTGAAGCCATCTACCAGTGGTTGTGCGAGTTTCAACTGGAGCAGTACACTTCCAACTTCATCAGCGCAGGGTATGATGTACCCACTATCAGCAGGATGACCCCTGAGGTGAGTATTAATTTTTAGCTTTTAGAAACAATCGCCAAACACATTTGAGACTGCACTGACTGTCATAAAAATAAGGCCATCAGACAGAGTGGAGTCTTTACCAAATTTCTCTGAATGTTACATTGTCAAGAAAAGTGCATCATTGCTTTACAACACAAAATGGAAAGAGAAGTAAGATTATGTCAAACAGACCTAAAACTTTCAAGGATTCTAGTGACACTTGTTTTGGAGTGTAAGTGTGCAGTTCAGCCTTCAAGGGCATCGGGAGCAGGTCCTCATTAGTAGTGTTTTCCAGAACAAAATAGCTTAAAACCATGCCAGCTTTAGTCATCTGCTTGCATTTTGTGAGATCTTAGCGTGTAATTGAGGCGCATGTAAACTCCATACCATGTGACCTCTTAAGATAGGCCTAACTATTGCACACAGCGAAATGTTCTCTCAGCAATAGTAAAGGTATTTTGCATTACAGCCAGGTGTTAGTAACAGATTCTTTTTTTGTGGATTGCTGACTGTGAAGTTGTTCATTCACTTACCGTCTACATGTGTTTTGTTCTTCAGGATCTCACAGCTATAGGAGTGACCAAACCAGGCCACAGAAAGAAGATCTCGATGGAAATTGGCAAGCTGAGCATCCCTGAGTGGCTGCCAGATTACATTCCTGTGAGAAATCATTTCTGACATCCTATTTACATGCTGTACTATTCATAAAGACACTGCTATTTCGCTTAGATTTGTTTTAAAAATGTACTCACCTCTCACTTTTTTGTTTCTGTCCATGTGTCCAGTCTGACCTGGGGGAGTGGCTAAGTGTGATTGGATTGCCTCAGTACCAGAAGAGATTGTGTGACAATGGCTACGACTCCATTTCGATTGTTAAAGACATCACCTGGGAGGACTTGCAGGAGATAGGCATCACTAAACTGGGTGAGGAATTTGATAAGACTTCTATGAAATCTGTTGATGATGTCTATATATGGTCTTGCAGACTTTACAAACAGGATGTCTCTTGCAATGACTATAGAGGTAGACTTAATTTCAGAACAGTTGTATTAGATTGTATTGGAAAACAGACCTACCTAAAACTGGAAAGACTACTGAGAAATTAAATTTAATGTACTTTGTTTAAATTTGGAATTGTGAACACAAGGTGGCACTGTTTAGCCAAAGTAGTCCACTCACTCTTGCTATAAAGCATTATGATTTTCAATTTTGATAGATTGTAGTGATAGTATGTCTATGTGTTTCAGGCCATCAAAAGAAGTTAATGTTAGCAGTGAAGAGACTGTGTGACCTGCAGCGCTCTCGTAACCATGCCGACAGAACTGGAGGTGGTACTCTCAGAAGAAAGCCTCCCGCTGCTCTTGAGCTGGTGACCATTGAGCACACGCCAACACACAATGTGCACACTCACACGCGCTCGGATGCTCCATCCAATGACTGCTGCCCCTCCCCTTGCACACCTAGAGCCCTTCTTTCATTTCAGGACAGCGAGCTGAGTGCCGAGCTGCAGAGCGCTATGATGGGCAAGGTGGGGGGAGGAGCCACCGAGGCGTTTGGCATCAGAGGTGTGTCCTCTGCTGCAGTTTTAACTGCCATGTCAGTCAGTCAAGAGAGCATTAGCGTGCGTTCACGGGGCTCAGGGAATTCTGGAAATTCAAGTTCAGGATATTCTCAGGATCACCAAGGCCCATCATCTTCAGCCAGGACATGCAACCAGTCTGAGAGGAGTCTAGGTACTGGTGCTGGGGAGGAGGCAAAGAATGGAAGAAGCAGTCCTGGAGGCAGAAGTAGACAAAGACCCACAGACATGTGGGAGCACCAGAGTCGGTCTGCTACACCAAACAAAATTCCCTTCTCCCCTATCACGCCTCCGCTGACCCCAAGCAAGATGCCCCGCTTTACTTACCCAGCAGTCCCACCCAAGGCCAAACACGCCCAGCCCCTTAACCGGTCTCAGCCACAGCACCACCTACAGCACCACCCTTCCTCCTCCCCATCCTGTCCATCCCCACAGCCTTCCCCGACACCAAAGGCCTTCAGTTACATCCAGGCTCAGGCAGGAGATGTCAGCAGGACCCCACGAGTGCTTTCCAAGCCACTTCCTGGAGCTGTCCCTCTCCTGGGACCACCACCTGCACATGCCCGAGCTGATGCTGCCCAGAGAGGACCACAAAAGAAACGTTCTCAAAGCCTGACCCGCTATGCTCTTTCTGATGGTGAGCCAGATGATGATGATGACCTTGCTCCCACCTGTACCTCTGCTTCCTCTGCAATCATGCCATCCTATGCCACCCTGTCACGCAGGACGAGATGTGGGCACACAGGTGCCACAGGGGCTCAGCGCCACATTAACCGCAGCCACTCCTTCGCCGTGCGCTCCCGTCGCAAAGGTCCACCACCACCACCACCGAAGAGGATGAGCTCAGTAAGTGGCAGTGCTGCACATCAACTGGTAAACGGGAAAGTGGTGGAACCAGAGATGACAGGAGGGGTGGAGACGGAGAGTGCAGGCAGCGTGAGGAGTATTGCTGCCAGGTTAGAAGGTAGCAGCACCAGTCCATCTCGGAGGATAGATATACCACCAACCTACGTACCCGTTTCACCTGTTTTCAGCCCTGTTTCCTCCCAGATCCCACACGGATTTCCTACTCACATCATCATACAGCACACCAAACCTGTCCCTGCTTTGGGTCTAGGGGGCCTAAGGAGAGTAGGAAGTGAGAGGACAGATGGAGACTCTGACAGACAAACATTTGAGGAGAAAGAGAAAGCAAGGAAAAATGAAAGAATGTCAAAGAGCACTACTGTTTCTCCAAACCACAGTTCTAGGGACCACATACCTTTTGCTGAGGAAGGCAACCTCACTATCAAACAGCGTCCCAGGATAGCAGTTATTACTCAGGCAGATGCTAAAGTAATTACTTCTTCAGAAGGTCCAGTCCAGACCCCAAACAATCTGGAGATCCCAGAGTTCAATCTGAAAGAGTCTGACACTGTCAAACGACGCCACAAACCTAAAGATAAAGATGCATCCACACCTGAAGAGGCCACCACCCCAAACAGAGATGACAACCGGCTGCAAATCAACAGCCTCTATCCACATAATGATGTCAGCACACTGGTTGATGAGGAAGCGCAGAGGCCAGTGACTGTTTTCCAAAGAATAGGCTCCATGGGAAAAGGCCCAAAGCCTCCGGTGTCCTCTAAACCTTCCAGTCCTCTCAAGCAAATCCCGAAGAGCGGACCAGCAACCCCTCAAAAAACTCTTTCTTCAGTCCAAGCTAGTGCCCAAACAGCCATTCCTAAACTCACCAGTGTGCAGATTCACACAGTCTCCCCAAAGATTGGTGGCAGTATACAAACCCACACATGTATACCCAGCCCTAAATCTGTGAAACACCCACAGACAGCTATGTTCAAGCCTGAAAGTCCACAGAAAGCTGCTGCATTGACGCTCTCAAACTTCCCTCAGCAAAGTACAGCCTCTGCATCACCAGCAGGTAACAATCACTACAAATAAGATAGTTAAACATGTTTGTTGCCTTTATCTGCTTGAATAAAGATTTCATAACTTTGTTTTAGTTGCCACAGTCACTAAACACTTCTTGTTCCTCAGGATTGAATCACACAGTGGTTCAGAATGTTGCCGTTGCTGCTCCGTCCGCTCAAGCACCGACCCATTGCTACCCCAACTCCGCTCCAATATTTCAAGCAGGAAAAGCAGGGGTATCCCCTGCTGGTGTTGCTGGTCTGGAGGTGTTGGCTCAGAAAAGACTGGAGCAAACTAGTACGTCACTGGAGGCCGCTCTCAAAGTGGTGGAAAACAAACTGGCAGAGGGGAGCACTGTGGACAGGTAAGGACTGCTATGTTGGTAGTGCATAAAAGTAGTTTCTAGGTCACCCAGCACAAGTAAAATAAGAATTTTCCTTATTGATAGTATGTTTGCAAGACCATGACTTACGTACTGGTAGCCAGTTTTTATTTGTTAGCTGTTAGTGAAAGTAATATTTAGATGTTTCTCCTTATTTCCATTATGTGTCAGTCCAGCTGTCCTGCAGCAACAGTCCTTTAAAATAACAACCGGATGATTGTTTTGGTGGCATGCAGGCATGCAGAACTAGATAATCTTTGTTTACAACCTATTTGGTGGTTAAAACAATGTAACAGTTTCTTGGCCAGCTAAACTTTGCAGTATTGTCCGAGACCCTAGCCATTACTCTGGTGAGTACGATGAAAGCAAATTGTGAACTTCTATTTTTACAGATAATCGGCAGCCTTAGCAATCAATCATTGATTCATCAATTACATGGAATAAACTGAGTGAACAACAGTCCATGTCCTAATGTAGCTGCTTTAAACACAGTCACATGATTTCAGCTGCTCTGACAGCTTGTGTCATAAAACGTCGACCACTCTAATGTCATAGACAATCATCCAGTGGACCAACCGGATGCTCATTTCAGCTAAGCCTCAAAATAGGCATCAAGCATCACAGGAGACTTCATCATGGTGACACTTTAAGAGCTAAATTTGCATTATACTTCCTGCTTACCACTGCCCTGCCAGTAGGCCAAGTGACAGCCTCCTCTGATTTCTACAGTAACAGGCTTCACCTGGTAGCCTAACTAGGTATTACAGCTAAAGTAAATGCATTTCTAACATACATAGCCCTCATCTTTTGCCTTATTAGTTAATATATTTTTACTTTGTTAAACTATTACCAACAATTGAACATTCTCAGGTAGTACAGCGTCACAGCTGACTGAAAATGGCTGAAACTACAAAAGTAAGATTTAAATAAGTTGTAATAATACATTTGTTTTTAACATGATCCTGTGTTTTGTTCTGTAACATAGTGGCAGCAGCACAGTGAAGGCAGCAGGAAATATTCTGGATGACATCGGCAACATGTTTGACGACCTGGCTGACCAGCTGGATGCCATGTTGGAGTGACTTTCCAAATTCTCCACTAAAAATTGGCAAAGTCCTTTTCTCAAGGGAACAACAGACAGAAAACTGAGACTCAGACGTCAGCAGAGGGTTAAGATGAACCTTTGATGTTGGGAAGAACAGAGCTCAGCACTTTCCCAGGACTCTGGATGAATCAGTAAGCACACATTCGAGGATTTTCCTGCACATTTTTTCCTCAGTGTCCAGTTTTTCAACGCGAGCACTTCGCCTTAGGACACACACCTGGGAATGTTGGAGCAACAACAAACAGCAGCTGCAAGATCAGCTTCCAGGTGTCTGTTCATTATGTTATCACGAAAGGGAATGAGGGTCCATTTTGTTCATGTTACCTGTAAATGTATAGATGAGTCTATGGTGTCACTGTGTATGTGTGTAGTCAGATATCTTTATACTGAATATATTGACTTATTGACTATATTTATACGACTATATGTTTTTTTTTGTTTGTTTTTTTTTTAACAGATGGAGTTCATATTGACTGAAAAAAACATAAAAACATTTTACTGTATATAAACATATATATATAGCTGCTTTCCGTAAAATGCGGAAAATACTGTTTTATGTATTAAAAGCAGCATATTCCATAAGCATGTACTACATTTGATTTGACATGTTTTTGCAATTTATGTTTTTTGTCAGATTTTTCAGATGGCAAATTGAGAGGTTTCACCAATTCTATACAGCACTGTTACTGTAAGTGAACTCACAGGTTTATCAGGTGTGACTGCTGTGGACTGAAGGAGGTTTTTAGTTACAGTGTGCAGGATTTCACAGCTCGTCTCAGGGTTCTATAAAGTGAACTTAGTGTAAGCGCGCTGTGTCCAAAGAACAGGAGACGCTTTAAAGCATTCCAACAGTGGCCAAAGCATTTTAAGTGAGGTTCTGAAAGAATATATTAATGACTTCAAAGGGAGATTTGTAACTATGGAGGCTAGAGTATGACAAAGCATTTAAATCAGCCTATTAACTGATGCATTTTCAAAAAGTTATTACAAACAGATTGTTTAAAAAGTTGCATCACAAGAAAAATTTTTATTTTTCAGTTCATGTATTTATTTCTTTATTGTATTATTCATTTAATTTTAAATTGAAATTGCAACATACATTTTTAATAGGCTTTAAAAATGAGCTTTTTGTTTCATTCTTAGGTAATGTTTTTCTTATATTTCCGTTTCACACTACATTATTTCATGCCTCAGTGTTTACCATTAACCAGTTTGTTGTTGTTTAAATGTAGAGACGTCTATTTACTTTAAAGGTGCACCAACACTGGTTTACCCAAACCTCAACGACAAACAGCAGGAGCTCTGATCAGACAGATTTCTGCAAACATGCAGCAGAGAGAGTTGCTTTTTTGGTGAGATTTATTTAAGGGGGTGCTTATTTGTCTTTAAATGAATGTTCACAAAATGGACCTCTTGTTGTGTGTTAGAATTATATTATAATTTCATCACCTACAGACACAACAGAGAAAACAGAACTATGAATTGGAAAATTAAAAAATATAATTTTACCTTGAGTTTTATGTCAGTGAAATTATTTTTGTTATATTCCAGAATCCACAGGAGAGAAGGGACCTGTCTCACAAATAAATGTATCAGCAGGAACCATCCTATCTCATTAAATAGGCTCCTCTGGAGAGGTTCAGGATCGCTGGTGTCCGATCTACTGAAGCCATATATACCTAATATCATCACTGTAAACCATTTTACCTTTTACTCCTTTACCTTTCCCTGTCTTTTCTTTACCGTGCACCTTATAGAGGGTTCTTTGTACCAAAAAGTTTTTTTTAATTATTATTATTATTTTGTCCACTGTCTGGCATTGACTCTGTGTCATACATTTACTGTGCAGTTAAATGCTTGTTTCTGAACCTTCCTCTTTCAATTCTAACCATTTTAAAAAGCCATCGCCTACAGAGGTCCTTATTCCTGTCATATTTTGCACTTCCTGATTGTAAAATAGCATTCAGTGTCTCTCCATGGGAAATTTGGGTAACAAAACCAGGGAATTGGAATGTTTTGGGTTGTTTTTTTTAAAGATGCAAGGTATTTTGACATTAAAACAAAAAGTTTTGCACAGTTGGTTCCTCTGTTCTGTTTTCATGAATACCTGTTACTTTTAAATAATATGTCCACCTCAATTCTGTATCATCCTTGAAATTAGTAAAGGAAAATTTATACTGAAGATGTGTTGTGCTTGACATTTTTGTTTTTATGTAGAAAGTCAATTTTAGATGTAGTTTGATGGATGGATGGATTGTGTTCTGGTTGTTTTGTTTTTTTTCCTTGCTCCTCCTCCCCCCTCCTCTGTCTTTTTGTTCTTCCTCATTCCATGTGTGGCGGAGGGCGTTGTTCTATGGTACATCCACATCGATTCTTCAGACACCTGCAGTGAAACATGATGAGTATTTTGTCTCCAGTGCTTCTCATTTGCATTTCTACTGAATACTTGTATTTTAGTGTGTAGAACCCCTTCAGTGTCTCACCACCAGCTG